CACTGCCATCACAATACTGTACACTGCTCAACTATCATTAACTTAGCTCTTCTCAGTAATACAATGATCCAAGACAATTCCAAGACTCATGATGGAAAATGCTATCTACATCCAGAGAGAGAACTGACAGAGTCTGAATTCAGACTGAAGCAGACTATTTTTGCTTTTTTATTTTTGGTAGTTTTTTTTCCTTTGTTCTTTTTTTTCTTTCATGATATGACTGACTAATATGGAAATGTTTTACATGATTGCACAGAGATAACCTGTATCAAATTGCTTACCATGTTAGGGAGGAGGGAAAGGAGGGAGAAAGGATGAAAATTTGGAACTCAAGAGTTTATTTTAAAAATTAATGTTAAAATTTGTCTTTACATGTAATTGGAAAAAATTAAATACTACTCAAAAGGAAAAAAAAGACTTTAGCCCAACAATCCACACCAGAAAGCAAGCAGATGAAGGATGCACGAGATCTAGAGACATCCAACTATACCGATGGACAGACAACACCTAGAGCACAGATTCTAGATACACAATATAGAAGAGCAACAAGCATGATTCAGGCCAGAAAAGAAAGACAGATGCAAGCTGTCCTATGTAGGGCTTTCAGGAACCCCAAGCTTCTCCCCAAACACAAAAGTCCTCCTCTACAAGACCAACACTGCTCCACTCCTGCCACATGGGAGACCATGTTCACTGAAGAATCGAGAGGTCCTAAAAAGCCAAAGAGTATCATAGTGTGAAAGGCCAGGGAAGTATTTAAAATGCTTGAGTCAAACGCACGCCTCTGAAGGCGGCAATAGAAGGATACCATCCCCACAGACCCGCACAGCAACAGAATCACCCAAGTACACGTGGATAAAGACAGAAGACAGATGTGGAGACATGAAGAAACCGCTCAGCACATACAAGAAGCCAGGGAGCAAGGACATGAGTTCTGAGTGCTCAGAGTTCCAGCCACAAAAAGGGAAATAACTCAAGTCCACTCATAAATAAATAACTTATGTTAACAAATTAAATGCATTTAACAACAAACACAATTACTGAATTGATGGAAAACCTGATGCCTTCCTAGAAGAGATGTCCAAGGTCACACCACTCAGACTTAGATTCTAAACTTACATTTCATCCCTCTCTATGCCAACAAGGGTAAAATCAAAGACCACTGGTCAACCTGACTAGCTGACCCCAAATATCAACCCCTCAACAGATGTAAGAAACAGTAGCTGATCCTTCCTGACGAAGCATCTGAATGGAAGGAAAACATATGTGGAGTACTCGCAAAAATGATGAACAATTTACATGTAGACTCGTTTAGCCTTGGGCAGATTTTCTACCAAAGTAAGAATCACTCCAAAGTCAGTGGACATTAAAAGGAGAGCCGTCCACCATTAACTCAGCAAAAGCAGAATCTTTGTAGTTGGTAATGTTCTACTGCTTTAAATAAAGTCTCTGAAATGCAAAAAACAATTAAGTCAACAAGAGCCCAGAACTTTGAAAACTCAAGTGTCGGGGCCCTGAGGAATTCTTCAGAGAACTGGACAAAGCATCTATGTGCTCAGGAAAGAGTGTTATCTATATAGTTGGTAGTAGGGCTGATTACAGACAGCATCGATGCCAGGGAAATGAAGTGTTAACTGCTCAAGGAGATCCCCACGAAAACTGTTCATCAAAAGCATCTAGACTTTTTTCCAAAAGCATGCAGTGTTGAGAGATTATGTGTGAAAGAAAAATACTCCAACATGAGTGTACTGAAATCAAATACAACCTGAATCGATCCACAAATATTTGACTGCAGACTACGAACTCAACATTCTGCTCAATGATATCTACATAAACTTTCTTTTCACTCAACAGCCTAAGCCCAGTGGAAAACACTCTGCAGGCCGGCTAGGCAGGCAGCATCAGGGAAAGCCTTAGGAATAACCCCAAGGGGACTGCAATAGCCCAACGCTCCAGCAGAATGTGTTGGCAACCAGTAGCAGGGCAGAAGGATGTGGCTGACGCTACTCATTTTTCTGAATCTCTCCTATTGATGGAGAGAACAAAGTCCAGGGGTTTACCAGGAAAGGATGAAAGAACATCCCAGAAATCCATTAACAGCTAGCTCTGTGTGACAGAACACTTACAGGCAACTGGGCAAGCTGAGAACCATACACTGAGAGATAAGCTGGGTGTCCTGGACCTAAACAGAGCTGGTGGAAGGAGAGCTAGAAACGAAGAAGACCAGCCAACCCAGAGGTATCCCCAGCAGTGCTACCAGAGTATGTGCAGGGGCAGTGATATGCCAGGTCTTATCTCAGTGCCTTTGTACTAGTGGTCCCCAAGGCTGCTCTCCTTTATTACCCAGGCCTCATAAAATTTTTGATTTCCTTCAAAATTTCACTCAAGTGCCAACTTTTACATGAGGCCCTCCCTGCAGCTGATAGTGTCTTTCTAGTTACTCCGTATGTATTTTGAGGATATCTATATCTTTATAATCTATACATGTATGCTTTCTTCTACCTACACACATACACAACGGAAGCTCCTTGAAGGCATAAACTGTTTCAATGCCGTCTGCGTCTCCTCAGCAATTAGCACAGTGCCAAGCACGCAGGAGCTGCTTAATAAATGTTTGTTTATGGACTGATGAGATGTCACAGGCATACATATGTTTTCTTTCTTACACCCAAATGGGAAGGTCCCTATGTGGTCATGTTTTTATCTAGAGTTTGGAGTTTATCATCTGCAGAAAACTGACGATTTGTCACATCTGAAAAGGAGCCTTCTCTCCAATCCCTAGGGGAGGGCCAGTCCAGATCATCAGCTCCTTTTTTTCAGCCTCAGGACTGTAGATGATATACCAGAAGAAACAGGTGGAGACTAAAATGACAGACTGGGAAAAGCAAGTATTATTCTATTGGGGGGGTTCCCGTTGAGACACCTGCAAGGGGAGGCAGTAGGGCATACTCTGCCACTACTTTCTCTTTTTTATGGGTTCTACAAGATGGGGAGTGGGCAGAGCCACGTTAATCCTAGGACTATGTGTGGGAGGAAGCATGACTGTGGTCCTGCATCCTGGATTATCACAGAGTCCACCTATATTCCAAGTCTCTATTAGGATGCTGGTGTAAGAGCAGGTTTGGATGCAGAATTAGGGTAGCAAAGCCTACAGCTGTTTGACAGGATGGTCAGAAATTGGTTAGGAGACAAAACCTGGTCAAAGGTGGAGGCCACAAAAGGTCTGAGCAAAAAGCTGTTTTAGACATGGGATGGAAAGGATAGTGCCACATGAAGTGATCTGATCTAGAACCCATCTAGTTTCATGTTCAGAGTGTACTTTAAAACATGCCATTTTCAGGATAAGATGGAAAAGAGAAAGAAGGTCTTTTATCTTAGACACAGCATGTGGATTATAGGCAGGGATGTGCTGGTGAATATTTAACTATTAGTTCTCTAAAAAAAAAGAAAAGTCCAAGGGACACTCTTTTCAGTTTAATCTCCATCACTTTCTTAAGTCTAGACAATCAAAAAACAATACTTCGAGCCCTGATGTGTAGCTCTTGCCAATTTCCAAGACCTAAGTATTCACACTGAAAATTTAACAGTCTGCTCTCCAAGACTGTCCAAGCTGGCTTCAGACACACCTGAATTTAGACCTAACACCTGTCAAGAGGATTGCAGAAGTAACAGAGACCCCATCAGAACTCACGCGTGTTTGCAGTAGGACATCTGTGCAGAAAACAAAGCTTGCAGTGCCCTCTCTCAGTCAACCTGGCATGCTAGGCCTTCCCACTGCACCAGATGCCATCTCTCATCACCTGGCACTCTCTCCTCACTGCCATTTCAAACCTTTCCATTCCTTCAAAACTCAGCTCAGATGCCATCTTCTCCATAATATCTTCATGGAGGCTCTCCATTATTAGCTCTCTCTCCCATTTGATTAATATCACTTTGCATTCATCAGCACATACTTCATATGTGCTTCTTCGTACACATGCTGTATCCTCCCTGATAGAAGGTAACCTCCTGGAGGGCAGGCCTGCACAAAGCAGGTGCTTAATACCTTTCTGTTAAATTGAATGATATGTACAAGACTATACCAACTACAGTAAACAACTACTAAAGCCAGCCATCCAGCAACTACAACTGAATGACTCCTGGGCAGGAGCAGAGAAGCAGCAACACCCCTAAGCATCATGAGACCAGGAAAACAATCAAACATGGCTTATCATTAACACCGAGTTCAGGGACAAGGAGAACTTAGACTGCGCATCCCCCATCCTTTCAGCAGTAGTTTTGTAAGTTTACCTCTAAATAAGGCCTGCTGGAACCAAAAATCAACACATAGTTATGACACCCTTGCAGTGTATTTTTCCAGACCTTGATTTCATAACATAAGGAGCTCCCAGTAAAGAAATTATCTCCACCAAATCAGCACCTGATCTACAACTTACAGTCTTGGAGTTTTGTCTGGGACACCAAGAAGTTAGGAGACTAGCCCTGTGTCACATGGGCAGCCTACCGAAGGCAGGTCTTACCTGACCAAGGCAATAATCAAACATGCTTTTGGAGGACTGATGATGAACCAAGCTGTCCTACTGCCTCCTGACACAGAGTTGAAAGACTTGAGAAGCAGAAAGAGCACACATTTTTAGATAGTGTCAACATGGGAATTTATTTTGCTTGACTTTATTTGTCACAAAGTTTTTGTTTTTCTTTTAAAGTGGGAGAAATGGGAGAGAAAATGAATGTTAATTGAAAACTAAAATTTAAAAAAATATATATATATATATACACACACACGTGTGTACGTGTGTGTGTGTGTGTGTGTGTGTGTGTGTGTGTGTGTGTGTGTGTACACATACATGTATCTACGCAGGTGTATACGTATGTATCCCAGGCAAATCTTGAAGCCAGGTCTACCTGACTTGGGGTCAGCCATTTAGCAACTAGGTCACACCACCTTTAAAACAGTTACTTATTCATACAAAAACCTTCACAAAATGCATTTTTCTTACCTCAAAGGTCCCTGCCTTTAAAAGGTTGACCTGGTCATGTTGGGAAAGATCTCTGAACCCTGGGATACGCTTTGCAAACTCAACCACTTCTTTCACTGCTGGGGTAAAACTCATGGAAAATTCTTCCCAGATTTCATGGCCTGATTTATGAGGATCCACATATGGAGACTTACTCATAGGACACACCTAGAAGACATAAAATAAAAGGACTCTTTTTAAAAAGAGAAAAGTAAAAAGAAAATTCAAAAATCAAGATTCTTAGAAATAAGAACATCACAAAATATTATCTCCCTTCTCCCCCAACCCTCACACACACACACACACACACACCACACACACACACACACACACACACTCTCAAACACTGGTAACAACTAACTCTGTTTGCTAGCTATATTGCTGTAGAAACTCTTATGGGAATTTAAAATTAAATACCTAATATTAATCACCAGAGTTACCTGAATCTTAAGTATTACAACAAGCTTCTATTTCCAATAATGATTACACTGACCCAAAAATCCAGTTTGTATATGGCAGTACTTTGATGGGCACTCCAGAGATCCAAAAACAGCCCTTTTCCAGAAACAGGCTGAGAAGTTTGGAGTACTTCCAAAGAGATATGGGGAATGGGGCTACGATTCCATTGGCTTAGAAGGAAGAGATGTAAGGGAAGCAAGGGAAAGAAGAGAAAGAGGGAAGGGGAAGCAGAAAAGGAGGATCCATACTGGCAAGTCTTTCATTTGCTCACAAGTTTCCATTGGATCCTATAGAATTTGATGGGTAGAAAGAAAACTTTCTTCCCAAATAGGGCCATTATTTATTTGCCCATATTAGGCAGCTGCATTTCTGCCTTTGGCATCCTCTGGTATTATGGATAGTAGTGGGCTTTTAAATAAATGCTTTTAGGCTTCTTTTCCACAATGGAAAACCAAAGCAAGAGAGTAGGCCCTTTGAACTACAAAGTATACCCAAGGCTGATGTTTCAGAAATCATATAAGGATCATTTACTGGTAAATGAGCTTCCCCATCAGAATTAAACTGAACACTTAGGAAAATTCAAGTCACTTCTCAACCTGGACCAAAGAAAAAAAAAAGAAAAAGCCATCTGTCAATGAAAGCAGCTATTCTGCAGTCACAGCAGCCATCCAATCTACCTGGGCCAGCTCTGTTTGCTACACCAGGGGCCAAAATCAAATAGAAGTGATCCTTACAGGCAGCAGCACACTGCAGCAACCACAAATTAACATGAGCTATGTTATGCTGTATTTTTCTTTATTTTGTTAACCATGTCCCAGTTCCATCTTCATCTGCTGCCACCTTCCCCCACCTCGGTGCTACGTGCTGCCCCTAAGGAGGAGCTAAGAAGCTCAGAGTCTCCCTCCAGTAATTCCAATGTCCATTTCATGATGAGCAGCAGGGTTGGACCTCTCTCTTGTTCAGTCAAGCCGTGAGTGAACCAGAGATGACCTTCTATTTGCTAGAGAAAGGATAACATTGCTAGATGGCAGCTAAAAAGAGACTGACCCGCACTGCTGTTGACTTCCCCGGATCCTTTTTCAACTGTTACACCTAAGATGTGTGCTTGCAGAGTTCTCTAACTATGAGAAATGTTACAAAACCATTCAGCCTGAAAGAGGCTGCACAGGCTGGTGGCTCCTGGAGGTCCAATGATTGTGGGGAAAAAGAAGGCTAAAAAGGACATCTGCTTTAGAAAACAGAATACAACAGACTGGCTAGTCTGCTGGAGAAAAAAAACACACACTAACCATGGACCACATGGATTGTGAATCCTGTGATACCAGCTACTGTGGGTAGAACTTTGACAGGAGATGAACACTGCATGTTCATGGATCTGTTCCAGAACATTAGCAAATGAGAAATTTGTGAAGGAAAAAAAAAACTGCTAACACTCTCCATTCCCAAAAGGTGACCCCAAATGGACATTTCTAAGAGAATCCTTAAAACAGATTTCGTTAAAATAACAATTAAGTCTCAAATAACAGAAAATCCTAGTACAAATCTGTATCAAAACAGCTGATTATTTTTGCTTAACTGTTTTTAGGAATGTATTCTGTAGGTGGTGAGCCTGGGATTTTGTGTTGGGTCAAAAGACAATTTCTTAAAAACATCATTTTAAAAATACCTTAATAAATATCGTGCGCCATAAAAAAGGGGGTCGCTTGTCCTGTAAGAATTTTCCCTTAGAAAAATACTTGGGCTCACTAGTGTAGAATGCCAATAAACTGGTCCCATCCAGAAATATTCAGAACTTAAAAAACACAGGCTCTTCAGAAACGTTTTTCATCTACTGAATAAGAGAGCAGTCCAACACTGATTCTGCTGATGATCATGAAACAGATCCTGGAAGTACTAGAGAAAGTGGGACAAACAGTGGTTCTTTCCCTCCTTCTCAGAGGCAAGTGTTGAAGGGGCTGTTGGTGTTGTTGTAAATATAATTGTTGTACAATAGGATTGGAAACTGTTCAACAACATTAAAAGATATATAGTTCAACACAGATAACGTGAATTTGTGGTTTTCTAAGTTAATATGTAGCCTGTAAGGATCAGAGGCCCTGATACTCACTGTCTTAAAAAATGCCTTATGCTCTAGGACTTAAATTTTAAAAATCATTTCAAAGGGGAAAAAAGGCACTCTTTGTAATTTATAATTTGCATAAATTATTTTGTAAAAAAATAAAATCCTACTCTTCTCTAATCAAATCACGCACCTACATCTAAATCTCATGAAATCAAGTTATTTAGCAATTGGAAGATGTTTGTTAAAAACTAAATTGTCTAACCTAAAGTTCTGCACAAAATTGGTACCAGAAATCTTTCAGGTGTTTTGAGCCCAGGCACTACTATTATCACACCAAAATTTAAAAATCTTTGAAATTTCCTTAATTTAGGCAGAGCAAAAGTAATCAACATCACTATACCAGATGCATTCTCCCTCCAGTGTTGCACAGGTAACTATTTGTGTTCTCATTCTGAGAAAATCCATCAACTGGTATTTGATCACATACTCTTTGAGTATAGCCATTGGAGAAGTTCATACAGTGTCCATTTGTAATGCAAATGGCACGCCCATTTGGATAATGCATGATGCTCCTCCCTTTGTACTGTCCGCTGAGGTGGTGCTGGCTCTCACTACTGGGATAATGGCTGCCTCCAAGCCCATTGCTACAATGGTCATGATTTAAATTATACTGCTCCATGCTCTTTGGAATCCTTTCTCCCCTCGGATGCTGCATGACCTCAGCCGAGTTCTCTTGCTGCTCTTGGTTATACATGAAGGTGTCCTGATGGGCTCTGGTCACCATGCCAATTACTTCTTCCTTTGCAAAATCCGACGGTGGAGGAGAGGGACTTTTCATGTTCTCCTGTTGCATCTGAGGTTTGGGTCTCAGCTGTTCCTGGGCCGGTGACGTTGTCTGTCCGTGACGTTCCACCAACGCTTCACTCTGCAAGTGACCACTGAACTGGCTGGTCATCATGGTCTTCATAGCACTCTGCATTTCCATCAGCATCCTCTGCTTTTCACGTTTAGGAATTCGACCAAACCGAACAGCTGTTGGAGAGAAAGATATCTAATTCTTATTTACAATATAGCTATATATTGTATATATATAGTCAAACAAAATAAAAATTGTTTTATATAACAAGCTGCTAGTCATTTAAGAGCTATCTCTATGCTCCTAAAACACATCCTAAGTTTGATGGCTATGTGGTCAATGTTATAGATATATGTGTATACAGGTGACACAGCCATTAAGAGATCTGACTCCAAAGGCAGGAAGATCTGGGTTCAAGTCCCACCCTTAATATATATAGGATCTTGGGATAGACACTTGACATTTCAATACTCTAAGCACCGACAGACCTGCACTGGCTGAGAGAATGTACTCAACGTGCAGTTCCCTCTGCTAATAAGTCATCAGCCCCGTCTCTATCTCTCTCCTATACCTAGATGCAGCACGAGTGGCCACGGGGCTCAGAGATCAGTCCAATAATGATATGGAAGTCATCCTGCTCTACGTCAAGGCCTTCTCAAAAATCTTCCCCTTGTCAAATCACATTAGTGACCTTACTCTTAACACCTAACAACAATCACATAAGCAGCTTCTCAAGCTAGAAAATAAAAAAAGATGAATAAAAATGAATATCTGAACAGATACTTGCAGATTTTTATAAAAATAATGGAAAAAAATAAGACTATTCACTCTCCATTCTTCTAGTATCCACAGTTTTGGTGTCTACCCTGTGTTCTAAGAGCCTAGAGATGCTGAAGAAAAAAGAAAAAGAAAAACTACTTCTAGTGCTAACGATGCATCGAAATTCAATATACTCATTCAGTGAGAAGTCACTGATACTGGCATTTTCAAAGAAAAGTTTGTTTGTTTGTTTTTATCAGCTCTTCCCCTCTACCCAATATGAATACATCCCCTTCTTTACAAATTGTCACCTTTGTAATGTTCTTGGAAGGGTATGAAACACTCCACCTGACATCTTCAACTAATGAGAGAGAGAGAGAAGAGACAGAGAAAGAGAGAGAGAGAGAGAGGGAGAGAGAGAAAGCTAGAGTTCTCAAAACTGATAATCCTAGCATTCAGTCGTCAAATTCTGTTCTCAAGATACTGCTTGATGCAATGTCTCTTTTGAGGATTGTCTCTGGTACAGTCCCATGGATTCTCCCTAAATAATTCTACTGGCCATGGCATGGTAGAAAGTCTATGCCTCCCTCTGCCGGACTACCCTAACTGCTGAAGAGCAGGTGCCACCCAGAGAGAAGACAAGCTCCCTGCAAAGAGAACACAGTGACAATCCTGTGGATCACTTTGCTTGTGTGGGACATCACAAAAAACATCTCAATCAACTCCTGCAGACTACTGGAGCTCTCACATGTTCTTCTCCACTTTATTTCTGCTTTCCAAGCACCCAAATTCTAACAATTCAAGCACATTCACATTAGAGTAGGTGAACAGAGAAGCAAGGAGAGGAGTCCCAAGGGGCTGCCAAGAAACCAAGGCATGATACCTAAGGGCTCCTTGACAAAGGGAAGTAAAGTGTCTTTGCAACAAAGACTCAAAACACTGATCAGAAAACAAGTTATTAGGGGAGAAGCATGAGACAGTTAAGGGAAGAAGAGAACCTGGATATTTCCACTTTTGAGAGCTGGGAGCCCTCAAAGACAGCAAAACGTGATTTCAGTAAGTCGCTGTGCACTGGTGAAAAGGCACCAAGGGGCAAGGCTGGGCAGCCTGCAGGAAGTGCATGTTACCCTCCAGGGGCAGGAGCCATGGGATTCTACAGCTGGCTACACACTGGAGGTACCTACCGTCTCGTGACATCCCAACAGATAGACATTTCTTGAAGCGGCACTGCTGACATCTGTTCCTGTTCATCCTCATGATAGAACAGTTCTCATTCTTCAGGCACTTTTTATACTGGATATTCTGCTGAATACTTCTCCTGAAGAACCCCTAAGAACAAGGAGATACACACAACCAGCTTTAGAAATCAAAATCTGTTCTCCTTTCCAAAACCTTCAATGCTGATCCATGCTGGCCGTCATCAATATCCCACTCATGTGTGTCTACAGCCTGGGAATGTTTCTGTTTGGGAATGGAGGGAAACAGTAGAGTGATCATACCAAAACACTAGGAGCCCAAAAGCACGAGAATTGGAAATGTCTCAAACAAGCACCAGATCTCCCTCTTTTATATCCATCATACCCCCAGTCAGACATTCCTGATTAGAGTGATAGATCTATGGTCATGGCAGGGTTTTTAAAGGCCAACTCTGCAGAGATGCCAGGAAATACACCACAGTGGTTTCCCGAAACCTCCTGGACCTCACCTGCAGGGAGCAGCTGACACCAACTGTGTGTTCCAAATTCCCCTGCCTGTATGCCCCAGGTAGGTTAATGTGGTCCCAAGTGCTCCATATCCCTATTCAATATCCTAAAGAAAGAAAGATTCCAGAAGGCATGTGGCTATAGACAGATCTGGGGGCTTTGTTTTGGTTATTTTTCTGTTATACTTTTTTTTAGTTTTGGTTTTTCTATGGTCTTTCTGGAGTTGCTCTGGCCTTTGATAACAGCTACAAAGTTTTCTTCCTCATAAAACAAATGCTTAATGTGCTTAGGATGTACCCTCAGGACCTTATCACCTAAGATAACTCAGGTTCATGCACATAGTAGGCAATGAAGTTGAAAATATGTTGATGCTCATATGATGAAGCCAAGTTAAATTCCAGGAACACAGATCGGTGTTGTAGAACTGGAAAGGACCAGAGAGCCCAATGCCTTCATTTGACAGGTGAGTAAACTGAAGCCCAGAGTGGTTCAATGACCATATTATCAAAGGTTACACAGCAACAGGTGGCATCTGAACCCTGAACCTCTGACTTTACACCCACTGGTCTGCTCTGTCCACTGAGTCACATGTCAACTATAACGAGCCTTGTACTGTTAGTGTACTGAAGTGTGCATTATAGCCTATTTGAGGACAAAAACTTACACTTCTTTCTTTGAAGTCCCTACAGGGCCAAGCACAGTACTTGACAAACACTAGAAACATGTCTCTTGACTGATTTTTAAATCGGGAATTAGGTTAATGACAAATAGTCAAAAGTTAATATCTATGTTTTCTAAAATCTTTTTTTCTTTTTTGGTCCAGACCTGTGATTTCTTTGATGCAGGGAGTTCCCAGCAAGCAAACTACCTCTGCTAATGCAGAACAGCAGCAGCTCTTCTGCAACTTAGAGTCAGAGAGCTACCTGGGGCCCAGGAGGTATGGGCACCCCCTGAGAATCACATAGCTGGGGGTGGGGTGAGGCCAGTGTGGAATGCAGGACTTTCTGCCTCCAAGAAGGCTGCCTCTCTCACTATAAGTGTGACTTAAAGTTCAAAGATCTTATCAAATTTATTATGACTACCCACTTCTAGTTTCACATGGACACAAAGGACGTTCCCAGCAGGAATTTAAATTTGTCAATGACAAGACTTCAGTCTTAGGCAAACAAGTGCAGATCACAGAGGCACAGATTGCATTTTCTTCACAGTTTGCCATTAAAGGCAAGTTAAGAGCTGATAAAGAAGTTGATATCTGGGAATGGCATTTGGATTTCTAGAACACAGCTTATAATACAGGATTGACAGATTCCTGGCCAGAGATGGAGTATACCTAACACCATTCCCACCTAGTGAGAATGTATTTGTCAGGTGTCTTGCATATGTAATCAAGAAGGCTTTACTCTTTTTGTGGTGGCTAAGAATTGGAAATCAAAGGGATGCCCATCAATTAGGGAATGGCTAAACAAGCTGTGGTATACTATTGTAATGGAATATTATTGTGCTATAAGAAATGGCAAGGAGAATGATTTCAGAAAAATCTGTAAAGACTTATATGAACTTATGCTGAGAGAAGTGAGCAGAACCAGGAGAACACTGTACACAGTAACAGCGATATTGTTGGATGAAGAATTGTGAATGACTTAGCTATTCTCAGCAATATAATGATCCAAGACAATCCCAAGACTACTGATGAAGCATATTATTCACCTTCAGAGAAAGAACTGATATTGACTGAATACAGATTGAAGCATGCTATTTTTCACTTTCATTTTTTTCTTTTATTCAAGTCTTCTTGTACAAAATGATTAATATGGAAATGTTTTACATAATTGCATACATATAACCTATATCTGATTGCTTACCGTCTCGGGGTGGAGAGGGAAGGATAGATTTTGGAACACAAAACTTTAAATAAAAATGTTTAAAAACTGGAAGAGAGCTTTACACTAAAAATGATGGAAGAGAGAAAAGATTGTCTATTTTTACTCTCCAAGTTAGATTAGTATAAAGAGTAGCCACAAAGAAGATAGAATTTCAGCTGAGATACCCAGAAATTCACAGGAGACAGAAATCCAAGAAAGGGAAGCAGTAGAAAAAAAATCCATGGCCTCATATGTCTACATACAAATGCCTAGGGTTTAATTAACTAACAAGAGGAAGTAGAGGCTCTACTGCAAGAGGGCACAACTGATTTCACAGGTTATGTCACCGATGATATGGGTGGGATAAGGCCTGTGACTGGACTACAGTTCTGGATGAGTATACTTTACAGCAAAGTCAACATTTACTGAGTGCCTCCCATGTGCCAGAGGAGTGCCCAGCTGGTATAATTAAGATGGTCTACTCATGTGAGGGAAATCTAGGAATCAGAGGGGAGAAGTAGGACAATTTGACTGAAGGTGAAAGGAAGGAGAAACAAGTCATATCACCTAGACAGAAAGAGTATGAGAAACAGATTCCCAAGCCAGAAGAGAGGCCTGCTAGAATAATGGTGATGAACTTCAAGTTTCCAGACATCAACTGGAGCTCTCTCTCCCCCTTCTATAAGCAAAACAGCTAATCACTTCTTGACTTGTCTAAGAAATAATTTCATCTTTCAAAGGTGGAAGGATCAACTAGGGGAAATTCTATTCTGAATTTGAGTCTTACTAACATAAGAAAGAGAACTTCATCAGTGGTGCTGAAATGATGGGAACCTTGGGGGAAAGTAAACACTTTATCCTAGAATTTGTGAAAAAAGAATTAGAAATATAGAAATAGTTTGACATGCATCCTACATTTGCTTTAGGGTACAGAAACAGGCACAGTGATAGGTGGAAGGGGCAAAGAAATAGACTCAGGCTTGAGGTCAGGAAAAAATCCCCAACAATTCAGGCTGTCCCAAAGAGGAAGGGTCTGTCTGCCTCCAGAAAGGCTGTCTTCAAACAGAGGCCAGCCAACCATTTGTTTGGCACTATGGAGTCCCTCTGTGCCCAGAAAAGAACCTGGGTCTAAAGGCACCTTTCATGGGCTCTCCATCAAGACATGTCCTTTCTGACTTCAGTTTCTCCAGCTATAGAATGAGAGCAGGAAGACTTGGCTTTGCTATTAACTCTATTTACAAACAGAATCTTTAGAAATAGTACAAAGAAAGGTGCTGAATTAGTTTAAAGAAATAATACTGGCCAGACTCACATAAACAACCTTGCAACTTCTCAGGACACCCAAGATAAGCCCTCCTGTCTCACCCTGCGAATTCATCATCTTGGCCAGCCCACTTTGCCAAATGTGATCATTTCTGTTTGAGGTTCAAAACCCAAAAGGAGTAAAGTATATGGCTGGACTCTGATTCATTCAGGCTCCTCTGATGGATGAAGCCTTCAAGAGAAGGAAGATATTCCGCCCCACCACCACCACCTTGCTTCAGTAGGGTCAACGTTACTTTCCAAAGTGCCTCAGGTGTGGATCAATGGAAGAAATCTGGCCCCAAGATTTAAGACCTTCATTTTTTACAATTGGCAATCCACCACACCTCTCTCCAGAGCCAATCAAACCTGATGGATTGTCCTAGGATCTCAAGATCAATTTAGCTTGGGTTTGTTCCACAGTGATACATTTTACTCAGTCACAGAAGTAAGGTTTGGGGTTTTATTTGTTAGGAACAGTCATAAGAAAAGAAGAATATTTTCACAAAATTAAGAATCAGATGTTTAAAACAAGATGTTTTTGCACTCCAAAATGTTTTAGGCTTACAATTCATAAATAAAAGGGAGCAGTTACTGTTTATTTCTTTCTCCCTCGTGCAGGGAGGTTAGTATGGCCCCCCAGAGCCCACCGCTCTGAATGCAGACCCACCAGCACAGGAACTGTAGCATGCATTACCTTACAGCCTTCACAAGCATGAACTCCATAGTGGAATCCTGACGCCACATCCCCACAGACTTTACACAGAAGAACCATACCACTGAATTCTAGGGCACAAACAGACAGCAGGTGAAAAGCTGGTGCAAACACTTCATGGAGTTCAGAATTTTTCTGCAATCAACTATTTTGATCCCATTCAACTTGAAAGCATCAACTGCTAGAGGGGACAAAATAAATCTTTGCTTTTAAAATTAAATAGTAATTTGTACAACAAATTCTCAAACTCAAAGGCATCTTATGAGGCTTTGTTTTCACAGTGACATTTTGTAAAACTGCCCCAAATATATCCTATAGCTCTGATTTCCTGAGGTATAATATGAAAACAGGGCCTTTCATACTAGGTCCAACTATGATATTACTTGAAACCCTATGGGCAGAGAGGACTCAGGAATGGTTGTTTAGATGAAAAGAAGCTAGTAGCAAAGAGCTAGATGGCCTAACTCAGACAAGGGCAGGCTGGCAGGGTTATAAGACCATGCAGCTTGTGACCTCAGCCAGAAGAGGGGCTAAGCTGGGCCAAGGAAAATGACCAAACCCAGCATGGGACAATGACTGTCAACTCGTGATGGCCAAAGTGGCTGATTAGAGCCAATGAATATGACAGTCTATAGAATGACACAAGGGGTGAGGGGTGTCTGAGCGCTACATGTGGCAGCAGATAAGGCCAAACCAACCGTGAGAATCACTTACTTGTCGCTCCTGCGGGACCTTTAGTCATCCCAGTGACACTAGATTTGCTGGTTTTCATGGGGCCATCTGTCCGGTCACTCTTCGAGGTGCCTTCAGCATTAATGTTGCCATTGCAATCTGATGACGCAGAACTGTTTGGAGAAGATGGGACTGAAGAAGGAGAGGACTGGAAGCTGCTCTCCGAACCCTCGCTGTGACAAGATGCAGGGCTGGAAGCTGAGCTCGAGGAGCTGATGTAAGCAATCACACCTCCTAGAAGAGACAAGGAAAACATGGTTACGTGAGTCAGTCCTCCAAAGGTGCTCCCTTGGGCAATGTCCTGGAAAATGGGAATTTGAGAAATCCCAACCAAAGACTCAATAAAGATTTCTCAATACTTGGGAGTGAGTGAGGTACTCGATCAATCCTAGACCAAGTGGAGCAAACTCCATCTGGTGCAGGACACCCTTCTCAGGTAGCAGGAGTCAGAAGGCCATCAAGATTTTGAGTCTTCAAGTGTCAAGAGAGTGCTGGACTTAAGTCCAAGTCCAGCCTCAAATAATTCCTATCTGTGTGAGCCTGAGCAAGTTACTTAATGCTGCTCTGCCTCAGTTTCCTCACCTGTAAAACAAAGCTAATAATAGCACCCACCTTCAAAGTTAGAGTGAGGATCAAAAGAGATCACACACAATGCAAACTTTCAAGTACAATGTAAATCCTATTTTTAGTATTATCACCACCATACCTAAACCTAGAAAACTGCTCCACCGGCAAATCTTTTGTGAGACCAGGTCAGCAAAAGTGGCAACAAAGGCAAATAGTCACCAGCGTAGAACTGTTATCAGTAGGGCTGTGATGCTGCTAGTAGGAGAAAACTCTTGAAACTATCCCTTCTGTGGGGATGAATACTGGGTCCAATGATACAGCAATGTTTGCTTTGAGAGAAGACAACTCCATGTCAGAGAATTCCACCTGGAAATAAATACCTGCTGGAAGCAGCAAGAAAGCAGTGATGGAAAAGAATCTGCTTACTTGGGACTCCAAAGGATCAGGAACTTAGAAAGGACCTGTGAACTGGAGGGTTTTCAGTTTTCCAAGAGTTCAGTTTTGTTTTTTCTCTAGTCTTTCAATAAAACTTTGCTTTTGCTTTAATACCTGAGGACTTGAAGGTGAAGAGTTGGGCAGTACCATGCATTCATTTTTAAACTGCTCACTTCCTTCAAAGGTTACCCCAAGCACCATCTTCTACACAAAGCTTTTCCTGATTCCCTGCACTGCTGGTACCCTAGCATCTGCTCTGTATACACTTGGATACATACCTGCTGTCTCCCCAGTCAGAATGTAAGGTCCCTGAGGGCAGTGACTATTTCACATTTGTCTTTGTATCGCCCTGTGACTGGCACAGGGCCTGATGCGGAATCTTAATAGAAGTCTGGAATGAAATACAAAAGGATACTGTGCAATAAAGTAACTCTCTGTGCCCTATTCTTCTCTTACACAAACCATGATGATGTATTTTGACACCACATTCTAACATTAAAAACAGACAAGTGATTCCAAAGTACATGCTGAAACTAAGACTAAAAGACAGTTCCCTTCTCTCCTTTCTGCTCCCAGCTCCAACAAACCCACCATGGATTTCAACAGTGAGACGCGTTTTGCTGGTTTAATGTAGACATACACGGTATAAAGGAGACCAACAAAGTTAAGGCTTTTTTTCTTCTATGTTTTCAAAAATCAGAAATGAAAATACTGAATGACTTTACTGTTCAGAATGAAATACAACTGGAAGCAAGGAACTGTGCTCTTCCTCCCAATGTGGATCCCTCCATTAATACACCAATCCTCATTAAAGAAGTCTAGAACAGAGAGCTAGTCCCACCTAGCACTTGGCTAAAAAAAAAAAGTCAAAAACAAACCTAAGGAAACACTCCGTAAGTGGTGGTGATGGTGATGATGATGACAACAGCAGTAACAGTTACACAGTGCTTTAAGGTGTGCAAAGCAAGGGACTATGATTATCACCATTTGGCCGATGAGGAAACTGAAGAAACTATGGAAGGCTAAGCAGCTTCTCTAGGGTTATGTAACTGGAATCTGAGGTAACATTTGAACACAGGTCTTCCTGATTTTAATTTCAACGTTCTATCCACTATAAAGCAGCAAAGGATCCTAAAAAAGAGACAGGAGGTGACAAGGGCCAGGCAAGCCCAAACACCGCTGCCAGCCCAGGATGCTGGGAATAACAGTGTCTCCCAGACCACCGCCCCTACTACAGTGGAAGGGATATTAAAGAAGAGGGGCTGCTGACCTTGCCTCCGGCACACAGCTGAACCCTTCCATGTTATTGTCTCCCCCCATTAGAATGGGAGCTTCCTGAGGGCAAAGCCTGTCTCTGGTCTTCTGTTTGTATCCCCAATGCTTAGCACAGGGCTTTACCCATGATAAGCATTCAATAAATGCTTCACTCCTTCCTTTATATGCCACTCTTCAAAAGTAAGGAAATAGCAGTAATTCTGAAAGAGGCAATTACCCTTTAAAAAGTAGTGCTTTGAAACTATTTCCAAAGTTTTGTGCCTTTTGCCATTCCCTGAATATTCTCATGGCTGCTCACTTCCTCCCCAATCTCACTATGTTCTACATCATTCCATTATCTACATCATTCCATTATCCAAAGATCCTATAGTCTGGCTTACACGTGCAGTTCCTCTTAGGAGGGTTAATCTCCCTAATTAAAACAGTAATAGAGGGTGGAGATCAATTTGCCATATTCATACAGAGATCACCAAAGAGACCCTCATGGCTCCAGAAATGGAACCTTCACATACACACACATCCTCCCAACTTCTAATTATCCCAACTTCTTAAGGACTAAGAAGCTAAGGGGGAATGGGCCTCAGTCAGGAAGCTCACAGGACCATAAACAAAGAGCTAAAAAGGCCCTTGGAAGGCTTCAAGTCCAATCTTTTTTTCACTTTACAAATGAAGAAACTAAGGACAGTCACATGCCTGGTGTCTAAAAGACTAAACTTACTTCTTCCAGACTCCAAGCCCAGAACTCCATCCACTGCACTACAGAACTGCCCTTTGATCTACATTTATTTATTTTTCCACCTGCTTTATCTAAGGAAATAATAAAACTCTTTGAGGACCACAGTGATGCTTCATCTACTCTTCAATTTTCATCCTATTAGACATAGCACTGAACAATTTTTAGCTGTGGAAAAAGTTTTTTTAACTTAATTTAAGAAAAAGCAACTTAATTTTATTCATTATTGTCCACAAAGCTATTTACTGAAGCGTTAAGCAGAGCAAAATTCTTATATGAAATTCATTTTATCTGTCCTACCTTCCTAACAATTAGAATATCCTAAATAGACTAAAATAGACTGGGCCATGACTGGAGCAGGGAACACTTTACTGCTGAAGATCTTCAAACAGTTGCTAGATGCCCCTTTTGGGGGCACAGCGTATTTTCAGTCTGCTATGGATAGGATTAGCTGGCCTCTCAGTGAAATCCCGTGATTCTGAAACTTATATGACAGACATTATTTTCCCCACCATTATTTTTTAATGCTATGTCTATCATTCATAAACGAGCTTTAGCTATATCACAAACTGAAATTTTGCCAAGGTTCTAGATTAATTAAAACTACAGTCATTCTGCTTGATTAGTTCTGTTACCCCGTGAGTTGAATGGACACAGGGATTGACCTAGATTTTTCTGAATAATGTTTAGCAGACCTTTCCTGAGATGGCTGGCTGTCTTACTGAATGAACAGAAATGCTCCCAAGCCCCTGTACCTGCACAGGCAAAAGGGATCCATTGTTGTTAGTGTGGCAGTAATTGCTCAGAAGACAACGGACCTGACAGATACAGAGACTTTGATTTGGAAGAAGATTCTTTTTTTTTAATCTTGAGAATTTCAAGGGGCAGCTAGGTGGTGCAGTGGATAGAGCACTAGCCCTGAAGTCAGGAGGACCTGAGTTCAAACCAAACACTTGACACTTACTAGCTGTGTGACCGTGGGCAAGTCACTTAACCCCAATTACCCAAATAAAAAGAGACAGAGAGAGAGAGAGAGAGAGAGAGAGAAGAGAGAGAGAGAGAGAGAGAGAGAGAGATGAGGTAGATTTCTGGTAGATCTGAGTTCCCACAGGCTTTAACATTTCTCAATCTACCTAATAGATTTTGTAAACCTGACAGCCAAAACAACCCAGGAGAGAACTAGAGCTAGGACCACTGTTCTTGCAGGATTTAAAAAAAAAAATTAATTCATCATGTGGGGTCGGCAGAAACAATGCTTTGAGCCTAACCTCTGAGGAGGTAAGTGGTACAGCAGGAACAGCCCTATGCCAAGTCACGAGAGGCGGGTACTAAGCAGCTGCAGTAGCAGCTCTCACCCTAGGCAAGTCCAGCTAAGCTCTCAGGGCCTTCATTACTTCATCTGTTAAATGAGGAGCCTGGATGAGGTGCTCTCTACGCTTCTAAAAAGCCCGACATGAGATCCCTAAGACTGTGGCTTTCATCTCTCCACATAAGCCAGTCATTTCCATGGCCAAAGAGAATGCGCTCCAAATTCTACTCAACAAACATATGCCATCAGCCAAAACTGAGTGAGACAGCAGACTTGTTCAGAAAAAAAGGTTAATCACTAAGATCACTATGCAATTCTCCTCACAGGGTATTAGTCTTTATCCCGATGCTAATCAGAACAGTATCTAAACTTCCACATGGCTCCCAGACCTGGACATACCCCTGACAGCACCTCTGGTTACTTGAGCAGTGTCGCCTCTGCTGACTGTGAGACACCCTTAACATAAAATGACAAGCCAAAAGTACCACCAGGGTCCTGGAAGACAGCCAAGGGATCACCCCCAACAGGCTACATACTGCTACTTAACCCCAACAGCAGGGGCTCTGCGGTGCTCTAGAACCAGGCAGTGCACACACCACACAGATCAAAGGAACGAGGATCAGTCACTGAATGGTGACAATGGTCATGACAATTACAGCTGACATTTCTATTATACTTCAAGACATGCAAAGCAATTCATGTGCATCATCTCACTGGACACTCACCACCACTCTAGAAGGAAAGCCAAGAAATGACTTGCTCCTCCCAGACACAGGAAGGGGCACCTGGGACTGTTCTAATGAGGACCACAGGCAAACTGACCAACCTAGTATTTAACAGTCAGAAATGAAGCTAATCTTTTTGTGGTGGCAAAGAATTGGAAATTGAGGGGATACCCATCAGTTGGGGAATGGC